GAGGGGGGTTGGAGAGGGGTGGTTGGCGGGGGGAAGGGGGAAGGGTCTTTAAAGCCCAGGCCTGGCATGACTATAACGCGGCAGCACTTGTTTTCAAAAATGCGTCACACACACCACAATCACCCCACCACACCCACCTGTGCATGGAGAGCTGCGGAATGCCGACGTCCACGGTGCGAATGCCGAGACCCGAGGAGAGGATGGGGCCGATGGTGCTGCCACACCCCATGTCATTGCGCACCACAAAGGACTGTGAGGTGGGGGGGGGGGGGGGGGAGGGAGAGGAGGGGGGGGAGGGAGAGGAGGGGGGGGGAGGGGAGGGGGAGGGGAGGGGGAGGGGAGGGGAAGCTTGGGCTCCAGATGCGAGGATGGGGCCGATGGTGCTGCCACACCCCATGTCATTGCGCACCACAACAGACTGCATTGGAAGGCGAGGAGAACGGGGAGTGAAGCAACATGGGATGCACGTAAAACAAGTGCTAACAAAAAGGCTGTATCAGAAAGGCTTCAAGAACAAGATGGTTCAAGAAAAGCAGCACACCTGGCAGGGCAGGCCGTGTTTGGCAACGAGGTGATTGAAGCGCCTAGAGAGAGGAGTGTGGGGGAGAGGCGGTTCTAGAGAGGCCCACAAGACGACTGGCGCACAAGCAGAGCAGTTGCAGTATACCTGGCAGGGCAGGCCGTGCTTGGCAGCGAGGTGTTTGAAGAGGATGGAGGAGGCGAGGTTGGTGGCGTAGCGCTGGTTGGCGTTGTGCTTCACCACCATGCCGAGGCAGAGTCGTTTGAGAAAGACTCTGCAGCAAGGCAAAGCAGAGTGCTCACTTGCTCGCTCCCTCATTCACTCACCCACTCACTCACTCACCTACCCACTCACCTACCCACTCACTCACTCACTAGCAGAAGCAGCAGCAGCACGGGCATAGCAACCGCAGCATACCTGGCAGGGCAGGCCGTGCTTGGCAGCAAGGTGTTTGAAGAGGAAGGAGGAGACGAGGTTGGTGGCGTAGCGCTGGTTGGCGTTGTGCTTCACCACCATGCCCGCCCCCATCCGTGGCTGATGCCGCTCCTCATGCTTCTCGGGGTAGTTGGGGTGCAGTGCATGCGCCATGTCCGCACTCACTGGGGGAAGGGGAGGAGCGGAGGATTGGGGACGGGTGGGGTAGGGTGAGAAGGGTACCAGTAAAAAAAGAGTTGAGTCGGGCTAAACGAAGCCTGGCAGTAGTTGGGATGCATTGCATGCGCCATGTCCGCACTAGCTTTGAGGAGGGGAGGAAGGGAGGTGCGGGTGGGTGGAGAGGAGTGGGGAGTGGTGGGAAGGGGTGACAGGAGGAAACGGGTTGAGTCGACCAAAAAGAAGCCTGGCAATAGTTGGGGTGCGTGCATTGCATGCGCCATGTCTGCAGCACTAGCTTGAAAGTGGGGAGGTAGGGGGAGGAAGGGAGAGCAAGGGAGGTGCTGTGATTTACTGCACTGGGAGGTTGGGGTGCACTGGGACACGTCAGAGGTGGAGGTTGCTGCTGGCCGTTATGCTTCTCCTGGTAGTTGGAACTTGGGATGCAGCATATGCGCCATGTCTGCACTCACTGAGACGATTTTTGAGGCGCCTCAAAGGCCGTTATGCTTCTCCTGGTAGTTGGGATGCAGCACATGCGCCATGTCCGCTCCGCACTCACTGAGTCCTCTCACCCACTCACCCACCCAGCTAGAAACGACCTCCTTCCTCGCCCACCTAGCAACCACCCCCTCCCACCCACCCACCGAGGAACGACGCCCGGAGACTCCTCTCCATAGCGCCCTCCTCCGCCACTACCCCCGGCTTTTGAGTCAACTCCAAGGTCACTTAGAAATTACGTCCTCTGACCCACTACCCAGCAGCCACCTGCTCTGACCCACCCACCTAAGAACGACGCCCGGAGACTCCTCTCCACCGCGCCCTCCTCCGCCTCTACCCCTGGCATCTGCTTGACAATGCGCTTGATGGCGTTGTACATGGCAGGGGATGCCGCCCCACTCACTGACTCCGACCCCACCTGATGATGAGCACCCAGGGACGGGGGAAAGGCGGGGAAAGGGAGAGACGGGGCAGGGGAGAGAGAGAGAGAGAGAGAGAGAGAGAGAGAGAGAGAGAGAGAGAGAGAGAGAGAGAGAGAGAGAGAGAGAGAGAGAGAGAGAGAGAGAGAGAGAAAGAGAGGATAAACCCCAGCTGCTGAGGTGTACAAGTAGCAAAGAACACCCACGCAAAGCGCGACCGGTGTAAAGCACGACTTTATTCGTGTGGCTTTTGATAATTCTCAAAAGCACGACTGTATTTCTGCTCCTCTGCGACCACCCACGCAAGCACACACCTCTTCGTTATCAAACAGCGCCACCACGCGCACGCCCCGCTCCTCCTGCAGCCCCTCCGCGTCGATCAGCGCCTGCAGGGCCGTGTAGCAGCACGCCAGGTTGTCCAGCCGCCCGCTGAATATGAACTCGCCCGCTCCCCCCGCGCCCGCTACGCTGCGCTGTGTGTCGCACACGTTCAGCTCAAAGTCTAGGATAGCTGAGGGCGAGCAGGATAGCTGCTCTGCTAGCAGCTGGTGTGTGTGGTAGGCGGGGGTGTAAGTGTGTGTTGGGAGGGTGTGTGGTTTCGTGTGTGAGGAGGAAGGGGGACGGGGGAAGGAGGGAGGAGGGAAAGGGGGAAAAGAGGGAGGAAAGGGGGATAAATGAGAGAGATGGAAGCACTGAATATGAACTCGCCCACTCCCCCCGCACCCGCTACGCTGCGCTGTGTGTCGCACACGTTCAGCTCAAAGTCTAGGATAGCTGAGGGCGAGCAGGATAGCTGCTCTGCTAGCAGCTGGTGTGTGTGGTAGGCGGGGGTGGGGTGGCATGCGTGTGTGTGGTTGTGTTTGTGTGGAGGAAGGGCAGGTGGAGGGGGAGGGGAAGGGAGGGAATGGGGGAAGAGGGAGAAATGAGAGAAAGGGGAGAATTGAGGATAGAGCAAGTGAGAGATGTGGATGAGGATTAGGCATGTGTGTCACACACGTTCTAGGATAGCGGAGGGCTGCTCTGCTAGCAGCTGGTGTGGTGGGTGAGATGGGGTGTGTGTTACTATGTCCCATCTTTTCATCCATGTTAATCACCATCCCCCTCTCCATTCCCATCCCCATCCTCATCACCTTCACCCTTCCCGTCCCCCCACATCCCCATCTCCCCCTCGGCCCAATCAGCCTTCCATCGCCCCTTCCCTCGTGCCTGGCTTGCCTTATGCAGTGCATTACCACCAGTCCTCTCCCTCAGCCCATCTACAGGCCTTTTCTTCTACCTCTCTTTCCTCACCTCCAGTAGCAGTGGATGGTGTTCCGCGCTCCCATTCCCATTGCCAGTACCACCACCACCGCCACTGCCATTGCTGCTGCCTGTGCCAATAGTCTTGCCATTCACCCTAGCCGCTGCTGCAGCTGCTGCTGCGCCCCCCTCTGCTGCCCCAAGACGTCCGCCCGAACCAGAACCAGCACCATTAGAAGCAGCAGCGGCGCCGTTGTTGGCGCGCAGCTGGGCTTTAATGTGGGTAGCGAGGACAGGCACAAGATGGGTCTCCGCATTGGGCTTGAATCCGTCTGTGTTCACGTTCCTGGAGAGAGGAACACACAGCAAGGAGGGAGGTGGAGAAAACAGGACAGCAGTGGAAAAATGGCGGTTGGAAAAAATAGGGGGAACAGGGAAAGGGGGCACGCGGAGAGGAAGAGGAGGTTTAGAGCATGATTAAAAAAAAAAAAAAAAAAAAAAAAAAAAAACAAGGCGGTATGGGCACAGCAGGGCAGTGGCGGCATGTTCGGGGCTGAAGTATTAGTACATGCATCTGCTTTCCGAGCCCCCCATACCAATCACAAGCCCAACACAGCAGCACACCCTACCCTTCCCAACCGCCCCAGCCACCCACCCTAACCCACCCTACCAGCCCTATCCGTTTTCCCCACTCCCACCCACCAGTCAAGGTGAATCGCGAGAGTGGGAATCCGCAGAATCGGCCGGTCAATCTTCACCAGCCACTGCGCCACCCTGCCATCCCCCCCCTGTACGAGCACCCGCCCAGCCAGGGAGAGGTCTCGTCTCAGTCGCACTGCTGGCCCCCCGTACGCACCAATCACAAGCCCAACACAGCACAACCTACCCTTCCCAACCGCCCCAGCCACCCACCCTAACCCACCCTACCAGCCCTATCCGTTTCCCCCACTCCCACCCACCGGTCAAGGTGAATCGCGAGAGTGGGAATCCGCAGAATCGGCCGGTCAATCTTCACCAGCCGCTGCGCCACCCTGCCATCCCCCCCCTGTACGAGCACCCGCCCAGCCAGGGAGAGGTCTCGCCTCAGTCGCACTGCTGGCCCCCCGTACGCACCAATCACAAGCCCAACACAGCACAACCTACCCTTCCCAACCGCCCCAGCCACCCACCCTAACCCACCCTACCAGCCCTATCCGTTTCCCCCACTCCCACCCACCGGTCAAGGTGAATCGCGAGAGTGGGAATCCGCAGAATCGGCCGGTCAATCTTCACCAGCCGCTGCGCCACCCTGCCATCCCCCCCCTGTACGAGCACCCGCCCAGCCAGGGAGAGGTCTCGTCTCGGTCGCACTGCTGCCCCCCGTACGCACCAATCACAAGCCCAACACAGCACAACCTACCCTTCCCAACCGCCCCAGCCACCCACCTTAACCCACCCTACCAGCCCTATCCGTTTCCCCCACTCCCACCCACCGGTCAAGGTGAATCGCGAGAGTGGGAATCCGCAGAATCGGCCGGTCAATCTTCACCAGCCGCTGCGCCACCCTGCCATCCCCCCCCTGTACGAGCACCCGCCCAGCCAGGGAGAGGTCTCGTCTCGGTCGCACTGCTGCCCCCCGTACGCACCAATCACAAGCCCAACACAGCACAACCTACCCTTCCCCTTCCCAACCCAACCGCCCCAGCCACCCACCCTAAACCACCTTACCGGCCCTACCCGTCCCCCCCCCAATCCCACCCACCGGTCGAGGTGAATAGCAAGGGTTGGAATTCTCAGAATTGGCCGGTCAATCTTTACCAGCCGCTGCGCCACCCTGCCATCCTCCCCTTGCACGAGCACACGGCCAGCCAGGGAGAGGTCCCGGTCGAACCAGGTGTGCCAGAGGCCGCCGCCGTAGGTCTGCACGGCAAGGGAGAGGCAGCCGCCCTTGGTGGCGGCCGAGACGGGCTTGAGCTTCAGGCACGGGCTGTCCGTGTGCGCTGCCACTATGCGCAACGGGAGAGACGCGGGGGAAGCTCTGTGGGGAGGGGGATGGGGGAAGAGGGAAGGGGAGAGGGGGGAGGGGGAAGGGGGAAGGAGGAACGGGGAAGGGGGAAGGGAGGAGCGGCAGGTGAGGGGAGTTGGTTCAACTCAGAAAGCACCACTGCCAGCCAGGGAGAGGTCTCGGTCGAACCAGGTGTGCCAGAGGCCGCCGCCGTAGGTCTGCACGGCGAGGGAGAGGCAGCCGCCCTTGGTGGTGGCTGAGACAGGCTTGAGCTTCAGACACGGGCTGTCCGTGTGCGCTGCCACTATGCGCAATGGGAGAGACGCAGGGGACGCCCTGGGGGGAGGGGAGGGGGGTGGTATGGGGAAAGGGGGCAGGGGGTAGGGGGAAGGGGCCACGGCGATAGGGGAAGGAAGGAGCGGCGGGTGAAGGGAGTTGGAGAGGCAGCCGCCCTTGGCGGCGGCCGAGACGGGCTTGAGCTTCAGACACGGGCTGTCCGTGTGTGCTGCCTGCCACTATGCGCAATGGGAGACACGCGGGGGACGCCCTGGGGGGACGGGGAAGGGGGATGGGGAAGAGAGGAAAGGGGGAAGGGGGAAAGAGGAAGGGAGAAAGAGGAAGAGGGAAAGAGGAAGGGGGAAAGAGGAAGGGGGAAAGGGGAAACGCCACGATGGAGGAGAGGTTGCGTGTGAAGAAGTACTTGCCACCCGGCTTTAGCTGCCACGCGGCCGACTCCCTCTGCCTCCCCGTCCCTGTACCCCCTACCTTCTCCCCAGAGCGAATGCCCGCATCACCCAAACAAACTCACTTCTCCCCAACAGCAAACGCCACGATGGAGGAGAGGTTGCGTGTGAAGAAGTACTTGCCGCCCGGCCTCAGCTGCCACGCGTCCGACTCCCTCAGCTGCTCGTACCCCGCTGCTCTCAACAGGTCCCTCGCCGATGCTGGTGGGAGGTGAAGTGGAAAGGCAGGGAAATGAATGGAGAAGGAATGAGGGAGTTTGCATGGCACATGGATCGTACCAGGTCCGCCTTTCTCAGCTGCTCGTACCCCGCTGCTCTCAACAGGTCCTGCGCCGATGCTGGTGAGGCAGCAGGGAGGGAGTAGAGAAGTGAAGTGGAAAGGCGGGGAAATGCATGGAGCAAGAATGAGGTCATTCAAGTGGCATGGCACAGGGATCATGGATTGAGTTACTACATGCTGTAGTGACATGACGACCAGAGGCCGCCACTCACCCGCATCCCTCAGCTACTTCTTGTACCATTTGCTCCCAACATCCCTTCTACTTCCCATCTCTCACCCATCCTCATTCCGTGATTCCCCCCTCTCCCGTCCCCCCGCGCGCGTCACTTACTTGCGGCGTGGAACTGTGTTCATAGGCACTCTATAAACGGTGCCATGACAGACTAGAACGTGAATCTTGAGTTGACTCACTCAAAAGTCGCACCTGCAGCATGGAACTGCGTCCACGAGCTGTTAAAGTACCCTACGAACGGTGCCATCGTTTTGATCGACTCTCTCAAAAGCCGCACCTGTGGCGTGGAACTGCGTCCACGAGTTGTTGAGGTACTCTATGAACGGCGCCACGACAGATGACGACGTTGCGCCGCTGCTTCCGCTGCTGCTGGGCTGAGGGGTCACAATAATGGAGGCACGGGGAGGAAGAACGTGGGGAGATTAGGGGGACGACGGAAGGCGCGGGGAGCAATTAGCAGGAAGGTTAGAGATTCAAGCTGAGCATTTTGTTAAAGGACGAATTTTGGGATTCGTTTAGAGCAGCATTCCATAGCGAAGCCATTCCAGTGCTGCAGCGCGACTTGCGGGGTAACACGTACCCGTGCGCTTGCAGAAGGCGCCTTTCCCGCAATCGCCGCGGCCGCGCCGTCTGCTTCCGCCTGCCGGCGCGAGTCAGAGCTGGCGTCGGAAGCCGCGCAGCGGAACGACAAGGACGGCGATGGCTTATTCGGGGGCAGCCACTGGCGATGATGATTGTGGCTGCTTGACCGTCGCCAGCTGTCGCACGCGACAAGTCCCGTTGCGAAACGATTCGCGTAGCTCGCGCACAATGACTTGGTCGAGGAGCTTTGGAGGAACGGTGAATGCCTGCTGGGCTGGGATTCGCGCGTTGCGATCGCGTGCGACCCGGCGACAGTAATTCGACGTCGCACAAGGGTGGTGGCGACGGGAGCCGAACGTGCGACGGTTTGGGTGCCGAGTCGAGCTTGCATTGCGGGTACCGCGGCCATGACAGGCAGAGCGACAGTGAATGTGCCTCGATAATAGGTGTCTCAGTAATGGTAATATCAATAACTCAAGGCAGTTGGACCAATGTAGCAGATAATGTACGTCGCTGGTGCGGATGCTTTCTATCGAGGACGGTAGTTGGTCGAGAAAGTCGACTGCAGGCGAATAATAACAAGTACAGTTACCAACAGCGAATTCACGAGCCGACAACCGAGCCGAATAACATCAAGTGCCTGGAAGACTGAGCGGACCTGCAAGCTGCAGATTTAATCACCAAGTAATCGAAGGTTCACAGGTGAAACAAGGACGCTCACAGGCACAAAGTTCAGTGGCCACTAGCTGATGCGGCTGCGCGAGTCGCTGGGCTCATCTGCTGCAAACCAAGGCTGCTCCGTTCCTACCTTGATCGCATCAGTAGGTTTGCTTGTGTCTCTCGTTCTGTCAGCCTAGGTATTGGCCTGCCTCCTGGATAATGCCTGTTTCGCAGGCTGCGGGGATGGGCTAGGCTCACGGCAGGGCAACTGGCGGGAAACAGGTCCCAGAGACGTGTTCGCTACTGCGTAAGTGCGGAAATATCTAGGGTGACTCGCTTGCAAAAACGATGATATGTTACAGATAATTGGTGGAAGAGCTTTGATGATATACTTGACTTCTACAAAATGAAAAATTTCTAAGCGTTTATCGCTTTCAAATTTGTGTATTGTGAAAGCGAAGCTGACTGTAACGCAATATTGTGCATCATCGAAGTGCGCTACTCGCCTTCTCCGAATATATAATGAGGGTTGGGGGTCATTCTTCCCTGTTGGGAACAAATAGTCTTAAGCGCCTCTGTCGTGTCGAAACTCAAGACACAAGCGAAGCAGCTCAAATCGAAGCACCGCGAGTCAACCCTCGGAGATTAACGTAACCGCTGGAGGTTACGAGAAAGTCAAAGGTCAGCGACCTTTGACCTGACGCAGCGTGACAGCAAGGACACACAACTGACTCGACATTGAGCAGTTGCCCGAGTCGCACTGTATCGAACCGCAACAGTAAAACAGTTACAATTATGTCTCTTCATATTCTCTGTACTCATATATATATTCCTGTATCTCTTTGCTTTAATTAACTTACTTTGCCCTCACATACTAGCGCAAGGTGGTTCAAGGACTTTATTCAAACGCTTCCACTACTACATCATTTACTCAGACTTTAACTCTACTAAACATCCTAGGGCGTTCAGCCCAACATGGTATGAGAGCTGGTTAGAGTTAAAATTTTCTCTTCAACACTTAATACATCAAGAAGACATGTCTACTAGAAAGGAGAGGAGCTCCTCCAACGGCTCTCCCGGAACTACCCCTACTCCACCTCCTGCCTCTGGCCTACTGACAGAGGAAGGTGTGAAAGAAACTAGAACGAGAATGAATGAACTATGAATGAAGTGAGTACATATACGAAACCCTGATTGGGTTGTACCCCCTATGGGATACCCCACTATAGCCTACACAAATATATAAGCTATAATGTTCTGACACACCCCCATAGGCAAAGTGGGGGAGAACAAGGGGTCACAAGACCAGTCAAGCAAAACAAAGCAAAGCTCAGGGTGGATCACAAAGTCACCACACATTCCGAGCACAAGTTCAAAGGCCAGAAGGCCAGTTGACATGCAAGATCACATATATATATATATACAAGAGGCTAAGCAAGCAAGAGCAAGAGTATATATATATGTGACAGTACAAGCAAGGTCAAGAAGTGAGCAAGTGAGGCAAGACAGGCACAAGACCCAGCTGAGTGCAGAAGCGCTGATGATCACAAGGCGCAAGTGCCTTGGTGAAGACATCAGCAGTGTTGGCCTCAGAGGCCACGTACGCAAGCCGCAACTGTCCACGCTGCTGTAGCTCACGAGCAAGAAAGTAGCGGAGAGCAATGTGCTTTGTTCTGTGCTCCGGCGCTGCTCTCGACACAAGGCCAGCATGGCCTTGTTGTCTACGTACAGGACTGGAGGAGAACGAGGCGGCTCTCCAAGGTCGGTCAGCAGGTAGGTGAGCCAGCGAAGCTCCTCGGCAGCCATAGCCCCGACGTAGATCTCAGCCTCACAACTGGAGCCGAGAACAGAAGACGAGCGAGTAGCCCGCCACGAAACAGAGCCGGAACCAAGACTGAAAGTGTAACCCTGTGACGACCGCTGCGTAGCCTGGTCGTCAGCCCAAGAGGCGTCCGCGTGCCCAGTGAGGACCACTGGACTCCGCCCTCCAAGCACTAGCCCCATGCCCGACGTACTGCACAAGTAGCGCAACACCCTCTTCGCTGCAGCCATGTGCTCTGGTCGGTGTCTCCCAGGAGCAACATAGCGTGCGAGAATGCTAAGAGGGTATGCAAGGTCAGGTCGTGTGCAGGTCATCAGGTACATGAGGCAGCCAACAAGCTCTGGATACGGGCCACTCGACTCTACGGACTCATCCGAAGGCAGAGCTGAGAGTGAGTGGCGAGTAGGCAGAGGAGTGGCCTGAGGCGAGGAGTACGTGAAGCCGAAGCGCTGAAGGACCTGCTGCACCATGTGTGACTGAGTCAGGGTAATGGTGCGGCGTGCTCTGTCCCGGGTGATCTGCAAGCCAAGGTAGCTGCGCCGTTCACCCAAGTCAGTGCACGTGTGTCTCTTCTGCAGCTCGGACTTCACGTAGGCGAGTCCAGCAGTGTCAGCTGTGGCAAAGACCAAGTCGTCGACGTACACGAGGATGTAGAACGGCTGCAGAGAGGTGTCGGTGCGCAGAAACAGCGACGGGTCGGCAGTAGAAGGAGCAAACCCAAGTGCCGCAAGTGTAGTCCTCAGTGTGTCGTGCCACACACGTGGCGCCTGGCGGAGACCGTAGACTGGACGCCGGAGACTCCACTGGGTACCAGGAGGGAACGACCCAGTGAAGCCAGGTGGGCGGCGCAGCCAGATCTCCTCGTGCAGGCTGCCCTGCAAGAAAGCAGTGCTGAAGTCGAGAGAGTGCAGCTCGTAGTCACGGTGAACAGCAACGTGCAGAAGTACCCGAAGAGTGGTCATCTTAGGGGTAGGGGAGAAGGTCTGAAAGTAGTCAACTCCCTGCCGCTGACTAAAGCCACGAGCCACGTAACGCGCCTTGAAGACAGGCGGAGAACCCGGCGGCCGCTTCACCCTGAAAATCCACATGCCACTGACGATGTTCGCCCCAGGAGGGGGGACAGCGTTAACGTAGGTGCCTGTGGACTTCCAGGAAGCCATCTCTGCATCCATAGCTGCCTGCCACTGAGAGGAGTAGGGACCCTCTATCGCCTCCGCGTAAGAGCGCGGAGTCGGGATGTCTGGTGCATCCGGGTCTCCCTCAGGGGCAAGGAGCGAGGACAAGAGATGAGGTGAAGCAATCGCAAGGCACTGGAGCTCCTCCTGCCTGTCCTCAAGGACGTCCGTGCCAAGAGCACACCCACCCCCGACGTACAGAGGACAGACAGACGCAGAATCAGCGACAAGACTAGCAGCGTAGTTTAGACGACAGCGAGCAGCAAAGTCTACAAGCTCAGCGACTAAGGCAGACGTCGCAGAGGACTCGAAGGAAGGGTCAGTGACGACAGTAGCAAGGAGACGCGTGACAGTAGGACTAGCAGCACGAAGGGAGTCCGACTCCGGCTCAGGAAGAGCAGGAAGAGAGGACTCAGGAGGAGAAGGCAAAGGGGCACGCAGAGGAGTAGTGGATGGACGCAGAGACATCCGGTGCGTGCCAGGGACAGGAGGAGGACGCTGACGCGAACCGCGACCACTAGCACGCGCAGCACAAACAGGCGACGCAGGACGAGACGCAGGCTCACGACGCTCAGTAAGACCTCCAGTAGGACCAGCGTAGGGAGAAGGAGCAGGCAAAGGGGAGGCAGGGTGTAGCTGTGACTGTGACTGGACAGGCTGTGGACCCTCTAAGGGAGGAGGAGGAGGACCAGTAGAAGGTGTAAGACCAAGAACCTGCTGCAGGAGTGGAACGAAGTACGGTCGAGGCCGCGTGGCGACGCCAGAAACAGCAGGGACAGCACCAGGACCCCCAGCATGAGTACCCGCTCCAGCCGCACCTCCAGTAGCTCCAGCACCTCCAGCAGCACCTCCAGTAGCTCGAGAACCCCCAGCAGCACCTCCAGCAGCTCCAGAACCTCCAGCAGCACCAGGAGCACCCCCAGTAGGACCGCCAGTGGTAGTCTCAGCGCCAACACCCTCAGCAGCACCAGCTCCAGTCGAACCTGCAGGCCCAGCAGCTCCAGTACTCCCAGGACGAGCACCTCCGGGACCCGCGACAGCAGCACCCTCAGTAGCCGACGAACCTCCAGCACCAGCAGCACGCCTCCAGCGCCGGGCAAACCACTCGCGCAGCTCCTGTGGAGAGAGTGGCTCCCGGCGAGACGAAGCACCCGGAGAACCTCCAGGCGGAGCACCTCCAGGCACAGCACCCCCAGGTCCAGCACCCCCAGGCAAAGCACCCCCAGGCTCAGCACCCCCATGCTCAGCACCCCCAAGGCCAGCACCCCCAGGCCTTGCACCCCCAGGCGTAGCACCCCCAAGCACAGCACCCCCAGGCTCAGCACCCCTAGGCTCAGCACCCCCAGTAGCCGAAGAACCTTCAGCACCAGCAGCACGGCTCCAGCGCCGGGCAAACCACTCGCGCAGCTCCTGTGGAGAGAGTGGCTCCCTGCGAGACGAAGCACCCGGAGAACCTCCAGGCGGAGCACCTCCAGGCTCAGCACCCCCAGGCCCGGCACCCCCACGCAAAGCACCCCCAGGCGTAGCTCCCCCAGGCTCAGCACCCCTAGGCTCAGTACCCCCAGGCTCAGCACCTTCAGCAGCACCAGAGTCACCAGTGACCTCGACAGGCTCGACTTCGTCTACCTGGGACACACCTGAAGGGGCAGGACCCTCAGGGGGGAGGGGGTCTACCTGGGGGGGACCTGGTACAAGGAAGAGCGGGGGCGGGGGGAGGGACGGAGTGCGGTAGGGGAAGAGGCGGTAGTAGGG